GCAAAGCAGGGTGAAACGAGACGCGGTGTGGCGAAGGGAAACTGCAGCGAAGCGAAGCGAGTAATTTAAGCGCAAGCGACCCAGCAACGCCCTGGGAGTCCGCTCGTCCACGGCGCCCGCACGGCTGCCTACTGTATAGACTGTGTCTACAATAAACCACTCGAGACCCGGACAATTCTCTCATTCCGATTCCCCATTTGTCCACCCCTTAAGAAAATGCATGACAATTTGAATTTACATACATCAACAAGACTTACCCTGTTGAAAGCTCATACCAAAGGAAGAGGATCAACGACGGATCGCAATATAGATTTTTTTCTTACGTCTCTTTTTAAACACGTCGCTTTTCATTTACTAAGGTCATATAGCGACCACTATACGTCGTACTTGGTACACAGACACACACTAACATCCATGCCCCGGGCGGGATTTGAATCCACTATACTTCAGTCACGAGGCAATCACGGCTTTTCAGCCTTATAGACCTCGACTATGCAGGACCTGTGCATTCACGGCTCAACAAGTTTCTCTGTTAATGTAGTTATTGTTACATCATTTAGGACTCTTATTATTAGAAACATTCCTGACTTTAGTTTATTGTTGATTTCATCTTTCTAAGCTTATCGGATACTTACAAAACAATTGGATCCCATCGCCAAGTATAATCGCTTCGTGGAAACTCCAGCTTCTTCTGCAGACAGACCTGCCCTTAAACGTCGCAATCTTTTAGTAGGGAAAGGAAGGCGAGATGACGACTGGAGCTGCTGTGAGAAGTTTACAAAAACTGCACTTACATGAAAACGTTTCTCAACACTTACCTTAATTACAAAAAAAAAATGAAAAGCCGTGTCTTCCGCTATTAAGAGTTGAAAAATATTTTATAAAGACATCTCACAAAGGGGTAAAATGACGAATGGAACATCGATATTAATCATACTATATAATACTTACTTTAAAGAGGCTGAGAAAGGAAATCACATACTAAATTTCAAAACACGGTAGTTTAGCCATGGCTGAAGTCCTAACGGTTGGGGGCTAACCCCCAACACTTGAATCAATCAAAACAGATACAGAATTCGCATAGAAACATCGTCTCCAGGGTCTGCATTTTGCTTGATGATCCCATGATTCAGCATCCCCCTCACTTGCCACTTTTGCAACCACTGTTGCCACTGTTGGTACCAAAATTCTGTCTTCCCCTGCTGCCCTAGGCTTGTCAGTGAACATTGTACATCATCCACGTCATAGCGAGTGACAACACAAGGAGTCCCACCCGGTGTTGTCTCATCAGTTAATAAGAAATACAGTTCACGAAGAACTGACACTTGACTTGTTACTCTCACTTCTAAAACATCTTCACAAATTGCCTCCTTATCCCACTTTCCCATGTGACTTTTTCTTATGGACGTTCGTGGAATATTGGTGGACACCTGATGAACACCCAATAAACACCTAAATAAATTAAAAGAGAATACACGAAAGAAAACAATAATTACAACTCAAATTCATTATAAAACCTTTATTACAAAAAAGCCATTAAAGTATGTCGGATAAGATTAAGTTTCGAACTCCACGTCACCTTACTCGCACAGCTGTTTATCTGAACCAACCTCGCCATTTTAGTTTGAAACTTGTCTAACAATGTCAGTCGTCATTATAAACAACGCGCATATTACCTGATTTTTTACGATGTACGTCTTAAAACGTTTTACGTCTTAAGATGTATTTCGCCGGAGGGGAGCTAAAGTAACTTACCGTCAAAGAGTAATTTCTAACGCTGGAAAGATAAAAAGTTACAAACTTCACCATCCAAATCGCGTTTGCGTCTGTCACAGCTCAGGAGGTAAACTGGACTAGCTTCTTTCAAGAGAGGAGTATGACGACTGTCAGAGAACCCTCAAGACAGGACATGCAATTATCCCCGCGCGTTTTCTTGAGCCCTCAATTTGCTAAGTGTGTATGGGGGGAGGTAAATTATATATATTTCGACGATCGGTCTATTCTATCAAATCAGTTGCTCTTTTGTATGCAAAATTGTTTCTACTACAGGGGAGCAAACATTTCTGGTTACCGGATTTTCTCAATAATGCTCGTTGCTATGCTCACTCTGAATTCAACTAATGATAGTTAAGGAGTAGGGTGTTGTCCAGGGCTCAAGAAAACATGTGCCAGTAACACCTATTACTCTGTTAAAAAAAATAGCGCATACGAAATTTTACATGCTTCGCCATCTTACCCTCCCTTCCCCCACAGGTCGGTGTAGCAAACAGCTATGCATTCGGAGCAACTAATAACTTGTAGTGAATGTTGAACTAGTTCCTCAAAAAGGATATGACCATCAGTGACCTCGCGAAAACGATCAGAAAATGTTCGAAATATTTAATGAACTTGCAATACCTCAAAAACTGACAAAAATTTTGAAATTTATGACGATTGTGATATATTGCAAAATACACGGTGTTAGATTGTAAAAACATTTCTGCTTCATTAAATTGCCATTTATTCTAGGTTTACCGTCGCCCTCGCTCCATTGGTGTACACCAGGCACTGGAATGGCATTGATTAGCATTTTGTAGCTTATAGAGCTTTAAAAAACGATACATTAATACAAAATCTACACATCAAAGTTAAATAAGTTGAAATTTTCAAATCAAATCAAATTTCAACTATTTAAAATTCAATTCTTAATGGCTTATAACACTGTTAATCACGATCACACAGGAATTAAATTCATCACTTATATACACCTAATATTCTACTGTTTTGATTACTTCTAAGATCAAGCTGCAAGTTTTCATGACAAGTGTATCATCTATTCATTTATCTATCTCCATGAACCGGATGTGATATAGGATGTAAGATTTATTTTTATACTTTTTTATAATTTTTGGGTTGTTTCTTTACTATTGGATATTCATTAAACAGAGATAATACATTGGTATGCAAGGTTGAAGAAACTTGCAACATAATTCCACTTTCCAAATTCTGATGAAAACTAAGGTCTTCATGAGTAAATGCTGTTACAAATACACTTCTAAGTTATAATTTCCTTTTCTTCAACACAGCTTGCAAGAATGTTATTAATCACTAGCCAATACAAGTTGCATTTGATCATATTTATTGTTGTTTCTCATAAAATTGTTTTAATCATTACTATTCTATCAGTGTCCTTTGAATCGCCCTATATGTTAGAGAACATTAAAAAAACTTTTCCAAGATCCCATTATTGCTCTGCACACGTATATCAATGATTTCTATACAGCAAACTTACTGTAACTTGAACAGAAAATATAAATATTAATAACATTTTTTTTCCATTTTATAAAATTAGCTGACCAATTTTTTATCTTTACTACAGTAGATCATAAATTAACCCACCATTACTCACACTTATTTTCATTGAGCCATATATATATATATATACTAATAATAACACAAACTAATAATCTGACATATTTATTTCTGAGCCCTAGCACTTAACTTGCATAAAAGTAACTTGCTTGATTGAGTTTTTATAAAGCAGTGTTGAAAATAAAATCTAGAAAAAGAGACATGTTGGTTATATAACTTGAGAAGGGTAGGGTCAAGGAATTGAAATGGAATGTTCATATCCTGAAAGGTGTGAACGTGTGTGTGTGTGTGAGTGTGTGTATGTGTGTGCGTGTGACATCATTGCAGTTCCCACATGAGGGATATAAGAAAGCAAAACTTTGCCAACAAAGTCAACTTTGTCTGTTGAAAGTTACTCAAATACACCACTCAAGAAATTTAATTATGATGGAAATTAAATAGGGCCATTGCCTTGTCATTGGGCCATGTTCCAATGATTCCTAACATAAGCAAACCACTGAACTGTTTTTTCTGATCCCTATCTATTTTGGGGCAATATCTAACAATTAATAAAACTGACAATTGTATTTAATTTTAAATTATATTCAAAAATATTTCAAAAGTATTATGCAAAAAATTTTGATGATGCCTAAAAAGATGGTAACAACAGTATAACAGTGCACATATTTTATATTTCTCATTAAAATAAAACAAATTCCGATTCTTGGAAGTACACAAATGGCACAATGTAACCCTAACAGAAAACATTACAATCACTAAAGTATTTGAATAATGTAAAAGTAATTCTACAAAAGTTTTCTAATTTTACTTGAAAACACTTTCAAATATTTTGGGCCCCCTAATTATTTAATCTAAGATCTTTATCTATATTTTGAATAACCCATAAGGAAACACATCTCAGAGATCTTACAGCTTGTAGCTGCATACTAGAACACTTAGGCCTGTGTTACACAAGCATGGCTTTGATGTGCGAAAAGTAACGTTCATCCTAGATTCTAGTATCCCCTCGTGCATCCTAAGCACACTGTATATTATGCGGGATAGCCAAAGCGCTCATGTGGCGTTTCACTGAAGACACTGTGTTATTCTATGATTCACGTTACTTAACACTTGTTAACACAATGCTTGTGTGTAGGGTTTCTTATCAAAAATTCTCTTACTTAATGGGAGATGGGTTCTGAGGGTAGATCTGCCCCTCACTCAGCTTTAAGGATGACAATTGGGGCAGGATGGAAAAAGAAGGTTCATGCATAAAGTTTGCTTAATGTGTGCCTACTATTTAGCATGATCACCACCAGCACCGAATTATTGGAGGGTGATTTAATAGAAATGATGATTATCAGTGAGTCCTCTCCCATATATCAATAAATATCGGTAGTGCAGGTATGTTCAATTTGTTACCAACATTATAGAGTAGAAGAGTATCTAAAATTTTGATATTCCATTCCTTATTATTACCTTTCATTGTGTTTAATTTTAAAGATAAGTTATTGTTTTTCTAATTTTTTCACATTTAAATAAATTAATATTAAATTCAAGAGTTCTTCCAAAAAATTGTGAATTAACACAACATAATTTATCTTCACCCTTAAGTTTTATTACACAGAAGTAATGCTTTCATTTTATTACCATCAACAGAGGTAGGCTGAGAGGTTATTTAGAGAGTAACTTAGGTCAACTCATATGTATGTAATTATACAATTTGGTACATATAAACAAAAGTGAATTTTCTATTATAGCAAAGACTTTTATTCTTAAGAGGCATGAAAAAAACTTAAAACAAATAAAACTAATTCACTATTCTTATTCTAGTATTACAATTGAGAAGAAAACAATGGCACACAATGGCAAGAACTGAATTAAAAATTATTTTTCTGTAATTAATTGACTAACATCCTACATAGAAATATGTATTGTTACAATTATTAACTTGTCACAATACATTTTGAGTGGCATTACTATAAATAATTTGAATTAATTATAAACATTACATTGCTACTATGATCGCAGCACCTATTTTATACATGCTAAAACATCAATAATATATTTAATAATACTATAATTCTTCTTCACAGAATGTAATTGATATTATTATAACCACAAGTATGACACACACACTGTTATTACAGAAAATGGCATTCAATACTTCTGAGGCATTTTTCTTACATTACTAATTCTATAATTTTCTTGCAATAAGGGATGTACATTGGAAGGACAAAATAAAATATAAAAATTGGATAGAAATGAATGGAATTGCTTTCCATTTATGTAATGAGACTAAAGCAGGATGCCATTGGATCTAATTTAAATGTGCTCACAATTTAAACTGTTATATTTTCATTATTGTAATTGTTTCACACTGGTTGTTTAACAACTTAATTCACTGCATATTCCAACAGCTGCCTGTACTTCATTTCAGAAGAATGTAAAGATTATAAAATTACCATATTTCCTGGAAGATTCACAGTTTGAATTCGAAATTGTAATGTATCTGCTACTTTATTGTCCTTCATCATCAACTAATAAAAAATAAATCTCAACACGACAGATATTTGTTGATCTGAAAAATTATGATTACCTGCATTATTTACACACTTGCAAATCATTTACGAACACTCTTGGCTACTGCAATGTACATCATTATGACACAACTAATAAATTTCATTTGACCAAGATACATACTCTTTTCTTCTCACACAACTCATTTAGGAGCAGTACACAATAAATTCATTTCCTGAAAGAGCATTATACAGATGATAGCAAAGAATGATAAATAGATGCCACAATTACAATTTCACACTGGCACATGAATATGGTCAGTACAAAAAGGCACTTGCTTAATTCTCTGCAAAAAGTTTTAATTCAAAATTATTTCAATGGCTAGATTGATCTCGGTGACTCTGTGCAGAAATTGAAGCACTTGACTTTTCTCCTTCACTATTGCTCCCACTTTTTCGAATCATACTGACAAATGTGTCTAGACGGGTTGGATTGGGTATCTGCAGGACCATATGAGCTTCTTCTAAAATAAGAAGACCATTATGAGCATCTCCAGGTGATAAGTTGTGTTCTGCCATGACATGTTGCTCCCAATCACTATGTGAAGGTAAAACTCGAAGGCACCACTTACAGGACAGACGTGGTGACTGTGTGTGCATGGCTTTGATGTGTCTTCGACGAAATCCCCAGCTGGTGTAGGCCCGATCACAAAATGGGCAGGGGAAAGGAGGAAATGGGAAGTTCTTGTTAGCTAAACACAAAACAAAGTATCACATTAAAAAATGAAATAAGTTATTTATAATTTACACAAAAAATGGAAACCAATATTACTAACTTTCATTCAATATAAGCAACTGACATCCAAAATTTTATAATTTATAATTACTTAAAAAATGTTATGAATTTCATGTAAATATTTTCTTGCTTTTTGAATTATAAGTCTCAAACGCTTTTCTTCATGAACATTAAATATTAAACAACAGGAAAATCTAATCATGACGAAAATAGTCTACAATATATCGCATTAAAATTATATTGTAATACAAAATTATTTGTGTGTACCTATTATATGTGTACCTAAGATGGAATCTTTGAAAGATCAAAACCTGCCATCACAGGCAAAAAATCTAAGAATGGAATGATTTCATACATGAAAATTACCTCTTAAAATCTAGAAACCTACCAAATGCTTATGCTTAGAAACGGAAGGTTTTTGGAGAACACAATTTAGTTTTTAAATATCCATCATTATCTTTGGAATGGCATTGTGTGAAGGATCACTTCCTGAGAGAATGAGAGGTTTTACCTCTTATACCTGCTGACAGTGGTCAATTTGGAAATTGTTTCACCACCACTTTCTGGCCCTTTGGTAAGATTTTCACAACTTTTTCACTGTTCCTCTGAATCCTTAATGTTGATCATCCGCACCCCATTCATTTCTCAAAAGCGTGATGCACAACACAATGCAAATCCAGGAATTCTGTCTTGTCATCCTCGCAGAGCTTTACATTATTAAACACATGCTAAATTTATTTGTAAAATGTGGAATAAATGCTTGTCTAATATTTTCCTTGTGTTTCTCTGTTAATTTCTTTAAGAGCATATTTTCGAAGTTTCAAAGTTTCCTCGTCAAACACCCTGTATATTAATTTTGTTTATTCTCTACTTTTAGAAAGGGGGCCGTGGTCCGATAGCCTTCTCTTGGAGCCATCCTTGCTAGTCATTCCAGTATTAGTTTATTACAGTTCTTTCATTTTTTGCCTATGAAACTGACTTCTGTTCAGCTTGTTCTTTATTTTTTTAATATAATTTAAATAATTCCAAACCTTTTATTTATTAACTTTGAATGAAATCATTTTCTTAATAAAAATACTATATTAAAGGTTAATTTTAACACACAATCGAGAATTGTGAAAATGATCAATGATAAAACTATTTACCTCCAGAGATTGCCAATGAATCTGAGAAGTGTCAGTTTGACTTTCTCACATACGTATGTAGGAAAGTAATATATGTACACAGAACACATACAGAGTATTAAAAGTAGTAGAGAATGCCTTCGGTTCTAACAGATTTTAACAGAAATATACCTTTTGGGTTCTACAATAACTAAAAAGTTTTTGTTTGTTTTCCCCCCCTTTTTTTCTTTTCTTTCCTCTCCTTTCTTTCCCAAAATATCCATAAGTGCAAAAAGTACCAGTGCCTAAACTATTCACGAGATTTTTATCAAAATGAATCCTCACGAGATTTTTATCTCAATCGATCTGGCTCAATTCAATACCCTGCATATTTGAAAATAATTCTTGAATTCTGAGGGTCCATAAATCAAACCTCTAGGCCATTTTGAAAGTTTTCTCAAAAATGGTTACAAATTTATTTTGAGAATTGAATGAAAAACACTAATAAAGAAGGCACATGTATGATTTTCACTGTTGCCTTTTGGAAAATTGAGAAAGATCCCAACTGTTTGAACTCCTTTTACAACTGAAGATAAATCTATCTTTGCATGAAATTTGTTCTCTAGTTAGTTATTTAATTATTGTCATGTACTTTTCTTTTCTTTTTTTTAATGTTAGTAGTTTTCATGCAATTTGGAGTTAGTGAAATACGGGCAATTTTAAAAACAAATTTTCTCAAATATAACACCAAATTTGTTTGCATTGAATAACGTAATATAAACATCACTTTGACGTTGTTTTGACTTTCGAAAAATGAAAAAATGTATTTTTTTTGTAATATCTCTCAAGTTGTTAATATTATTGGATTTGTGAGTGCAAGTACTTTAAATGTTTTCTAATGAAGTTTATAAAAATTTTTTTTCAAAAGTTTTCAGGAAAACTCAAGCAACATTTTTGCAAAAACCACTATCAATTTTTCAATTAAAATTTGTTTCTAGAACCAAATGTGAGTCTTCTATGTGGTTTTAAAGTCATATTTCAATTCTACTATTAGGGAATCAAAAACACAAAAACAAAATGTACATGTTTCTGATAACACTATATCCTGAAAAATTAGAAAATATGAAAGAATGTGTTTTTGATAACAATTTCATCCATACAAATAACACATAAAATATACCATAAATAATATGTTCTACATAGATTCATTCTTACAGAACACACTGACTCTGGTCGCGGAAGCCTACGACTTCACATTGAAGATTGCTTGTACATAAAAATTTCAGTTTTATTTACATGATAAATTTTACGGAATGTGGCCTTACCACACTTACTATTAGAATGGTCAAATGATTCAGCCTCTTGAGGCAGGGGATTAGGGCAAAAGAACCAAATTTGACATAAAAGCTATGCATTTGAAACCCACATAAACCATGAATGTTTTCAGTGCGTGCATTCTGAGTGGAAGGTGAACCAAAGTCCTATTGATAATTCTTTTTAAATGGAAGCAGCCAGAAATAAGAATCTGAAGAAAATATAAGAAATTTGGAGCTTTTCCTACTATTTTGATAAGTCAGGGAACCTTTTAACATTTTGAACTGAAGAGGTAGCATTAAAAACTATTCAAAATATTAATCTATGATTGGATACAATGACACTAAGTTTTTAAATGCATATCTTTGATAAATTTTCATTTGATATCATATGCAACACCACTTCATGTAAATTTAATAATTGAGATCAAAGCATCTATTGGATCATATGAATTACAATGATCTCAATCTCTTCTCCCAACAAGATTACATCCCATTCAACCATTCAAGGATTGCACAATGTATACACTTTACGAAGGTTTTAACAAAAGTTCGTTGTTTTGTTTGTACCCCCCGTGGTGTCAACATGCCCAGGTATTCATTTGACACAAGAGTAGGACTGGGACTCTGTTTGAGAATGAACATGTCATGTCTCAAGAGCAGGGATTCCTAACCTTTTTGTTTCGCTGATTCCTTTTGAAAGTATTGTTTGCTTCATCAAACCCCTCATATTTTTCTCCATAATATACAGCATATTAATCATAACACAATGAATTGCACACAAATGTCTTAAAAAACAATTTTTTGTAAAAATCTCTATCAATAATATTCAGAATAATAACCATAACACAAAAAATTGCACACATGTTTAAAAAAAAAAGTTTCGATCACTAATTTTTCTTAAAAATCTTGGCTTTCAATAACTAAATATGCTTCTGCTACTGAGTAGCCAAGTTTCTAATCATCATTGTGCAATGGTTACAAAATGTTGAGCATTTTTAAAGAAATGCCGGCCATTACATTTCTTCAGTGCATATTGCGGAGAATTTATGTAGAGTAACATGGTGAATACCTAAATTATAATGCCTTGAGTATACTAAACATCCAAGGATAAGCGATGCTCATGAAAGATGCGTGAATTTGGAATTTATAATAATTTTGGTTTTTTGCTTTATACACAAAAACAATAAATTATCAAATTCTTTCATATTGTTTTTGCAATCAACGAGATTTTGATTTTGCTTATACGATCAGTCACTTGTTCATACTTAGCTGCTGACCATTATTGACCCCCTTCAAATTTCATTGATCCACAGAGGGTTGAAACGGGTCCTGTTGGGAACTCCTGCTTTAGAGCTTTTTATCCCAGCAATCTACCATCACAGTCTCTCATCCAAAACTACTGTAATTCCTGGGCATTGATAAATTATAAATGTTTTTGAAACCAAATTGATGGAATTGCAAAAAACTAAAGTACATGTTGTAAGGTATCATAGAATTTCAGCCTTAGAGTCATCAGCAAACCTGAAGCCACAAGTTACCCTGTATTCAAAACTAAATAAGTGGCAATTTAAGATCTGAGGATCTCAAGATCTACATTATTTGAGAAAACTAAAAAAAAGAACCAGAATTTTTACAAACAAATTAATTTGTGTTATAATCAAAATGTTTTTGTTTTCATATAAATGCTATTAGTACAAAAATTTAATTTATTAAAAGATTTTATACAAGCTTTAAAAATGCAATAAAAATGTCTTAAGAGAGTGTCTCTGTGAACTTTCAACTTTGAGCCTTGTACTAGCCCGATCCCTGATCATATGCAAACAACATTAAGAATTATAACTGGTCTCACTAATTCCACCAGGCAAATGTTAAAATACAGAAAAAGGAGCAGTCCTATGTGAAGCAATTGCACATGTTGCTTTTAGTTTATGTACTTAAAATGTTTGGAATCGTGCAGCACAACAAAATTAAGAAAGATTTTGGAGAAGCAAAATTCAGAAAACAAGCTGCATTTACTCAATTCACTACACACTCTCTACTGGAAAGAGTGCAAACTCTTCCAAAATCATGCTACTAAAAGGTTTATTTTTATTATGAAAGATCATAGGTAAGTAAAGAGATTACAACCAAAATGTCGTGTAACAAACTCTGGTTATAGTGTAATATGCCAGGCTAAATTTGTTTTTAACAAAATTGAAAATGAAAATTATTTTACATAAGACCGGATTGTTTCCTAAAAGATTTTGTATCTTCAGAAAAGATGCATTAATAAACAAATAGTTTCCACAGGCATGCAGGAACTGATTTTACCAGTAGGTACAATTGAAAAGTTGCATTACTTTACTGACACAAAATAAAGACACATAAACAAAGATATCAAGGATGATATTGAGTGAATATTTATAAGCACAGTGAAGAATGTATGTACAATATTTTGCCAAATTCTGAAAAACTTTATGAATATGACTTATTAGACTTGTTTCTTTTGTTATTATTTGCAATAAAGAAAATGCATGACATGTTGTACTACTTACTAAGTAAGTTTCTTTCCACTCAGAAGTATATCAGTTTGTACAAAAGATAACATGCAGAAGAAACCATATCATTCCAAGTCAATACGTCAAATTACAGTGTTTGGCCTACCTTGGGGAGCATCATTTGGTTCTGCATGAAATGCTGCAGCATCAGGATTCAAAATGCCTGTGAGGAATAAAAATTTGAAATAAACAAACTAAAATACAACAAAAAACGTACACTGCAAGAATTACAATAAGAAGAGAAGGGTTATAACTAGCTACAAGCATCACACTAAACTTTTAATTACAACAAAAAACAACTCCTTTATTTCTTAAACAAAAAAATACAGTAAAATTCAGTATATTGTATCAGTTATCAATATATATATATATATATCCATTATAAAACTACAACACATGGAGTTCACTGAAACACAGAGTCCTCTCAATGTTGCCAGTACAGTGACACGGTCAGGATCACTAGCCTCAATAACATTATTGCAACAAACATTCAAATACTTCTTCACACCAGCCTGTGACACAAGTCACACTATTAGACATTCAAAATGAAACATCGTTAAAATTTGAATGGAGAACCATTTATTAAAATAAACATAGTTCTTGGATTGAACTGCTCTCTTAAAAATCATGAAGTTTCAGTAACTCTGATTTTTCTCCTTCAGAACCATTTGCTCCAATACTTAACTTCCACAAACTTATTGCACATTCAATTTTCAAAGGAACAACATATTAAAGAATTTATTTGTACTCTTCTAAAACAAAAATTTAAAGCTCAACTCACATACGTCACTGAAGTTCTTCAATCAAAACTTTAACAAGATTATTAATGTATAAGTTTGTGAAATAAGAAATAATCAGAATTGTTGTACTAATTGTATCAAAACTGAAATTGTCAATATCATTTAGCAGGGTGAATAAATTATCTGAATCATTCAAACCTGGGAAAGAGAGAACCTGTATATGACAGGATGATGTGGTAAAAGATAATCTGCACTAACAATGTTAATGTGAACTCCCACAAGTACAAGTTACATCTACATGTAAAGTCCATAACATAATTACAACAATAAACACATACAATTAACAGCACAACATGAATCCATATAACTTCTTCGGCTCAAATAGCAATTTACTGAAATATACTTAATGTCACAGAAAAAAAACCTAAATACCTTTTACTAGAGGAACTACAATGGCGTACATACACTGCACACATTGAAGAAAAATGTAAATTAATTCGTATACAATATATTATTGTCTTATAAAAAATAATATAATCACCTATGTAGCACAACCTATTTTTGGAAATTGCAACAAATAAAACAAATCGGCACAATACCAAGCAAATTATGTTTTGGAACATACATACATGCAGCATAATGTGCCCATCACAGTAGTACCCATATAAAGCATAGTTAACTTCCTAATGCAGTTCACTATTCGCTAGCTACCATTCAGACATTTCTACATATTCAGTTTTAGTGAGCTTGAAAGAATGTTTTAACTAACTCCCTGATTAAACGAGACAACACTTGCAAATTAATGAAATATTTAAATTATTAAAATTTTTAAATCAAGTTTAATCACAAATATTAATCTTCATTAAAAGGAAAAAAATCATTTTTCATTTGGATGTGAAACTAAATAAAAGAATGTTCAACTATTTTTAACACAGTCATATCAGATGAAAAAAAGAAAAGAGAAAGAAATTACAGAAGTCATGGATAAAAATTTACGATACCCTGATATATTTTCATACACATTACACTTCACAATTGAAAAAATACAATTTGCAATTTTCCAAAGGCCAGTTCATTCAATGACAGTAAATTATAATTACATGGTACCAGGCACCAAACAAAAAGGAACGACCCTAAATAAAAAGATTGTGAAAGCTATCGTGTTTGAAAAGACAATTGCCATGATGCCATATTTCTTTGTTCTTTGTATTTTGCAATTCAGGTTCTTGTGTTCTAAGGAACATAAAAAGTAAGCAGCAATAATCCACTTCATAGATTTTATGTCAAAATTATATTCCCTAGTAATAATTCTTATGAAGGAAATAAAAGTACCAAAATTCAACATACATAATAATTGTCCTTTTTCAAAATGCATACATAAAATTAACAAAAATACAAGTGCATCCTCTAGAACCACATTACACTGTTCCTACAATAGAATATCAATGAAGCTTTCTTCTGCTAAGATGCATTCATATTAATCTTTGAATAAGTCCAGTTTACATAACAGCATTTATCTATATATTACCTTCAACATTTCCTGAATGTTCATCATAATCAATTACTTTCACACTTTTTGTTCAACAATTATTTTATAATTCTGTTTCTAAAGACTAAAACATAATTAGCCACCTATGCTTAACTATATTACAAAACCTAATATCTATGTTCACAACCAAACATGTACATACATAGATATGTACACAACTGCATAGCACATTTGTTTGCAGTACCTATATCACAAAGGCTCTATTAAATCAATACTGTCTCAATATGTCAAATACTCTCTAGACATATACATTTATATATTTATTTATATATATTTATAAATATGCATTGGTCTGAAAACATACTTCAGTTGCCTTCAACACAATATCTTTCAACAAACCAATTATATTTACATCAGTCCTAATCTGTAACAGGCAGATTATCCTTCCATGAATCAGTCTAATTCATTTTAATATCAATATAATAGTTTACAAATTAAAAGTAAATGAACACATATAAAGAGTAAAAGCTAGAATTATCTTAAATTCTCCAGCAAACATTACACAGTAATACAAAACAAGATGCTTATAACAATAAAGAACATGGATAAAAAAACTTTAATAGATAAAAAAGTTGCATAGAGATAATTAAAATAAAGGTCTATATACTTAATGCTATTGCACACAACCCAAACGTAAAAGAGTATTTTTAATTAGAACATTATAAAGTATATGCATACTCTACATGCTCAACACTTGTCTAATTTCTGCTATTATATTGAATCTCAATAAAATAAAAAAATAAGAACAACAAAAACAAATGTCAAGATAGATCCACAATAACAATTCAAATAAAAAAAAATTGAAAATAAAAAGACAAATGGAATGAAACCACCTTAAAACCAAAGGATGGAGAAAGGAAAACTTTAAAGAATTGAATTTATTTCTTTTTTTGAAATTAAGAACAAGTGAAAAATAATTAATGTGCAGAAACATAGGAAAATTAAGATGAAAAAATTTTGAAAATTCATTTTATATCATTTTTATATATGAATACATAATAAAACAAAGGGAGGTTATTTTTATTAATATTAAAAATAAGTAATTTTCTGTGACACCTCTCAGCTCCCCATCCCTTCTTCTAATAGATCTTTTTTTGCCCCACACATCAGTTATGAGTTAACTTAGAACAATACTGACAAGGATAGTATTACAATTCACAGCAGATTTTGAATAATAAATCTAATGATTTTATTTGCTCCAGGAAATTACGTATCTCCTCAAAATGTTATAAAATAAAAACCAATTAGGTAAAAGTAATGTTCAGTCTTGTTCTTTTATATGTACATTATTATTCCTCAGATAAGACTCGGGAAATTAAATGAAACTTTGAATTACGTTATGATTTTCCTAATATTCGTCAAATAATGTCAGAAAATGAACTTACAGTGAACATCATTCAAGTTTATTCAGTTTGCACTTAATATTATACAAGTGAGAGAAACAAAAGGAATATGACATGGTTCTACACAGTTCTATTTTGAATCAAACTAGCAGTGTGTTATAATTTGTACTTCTCAAGGCATGCATATCTTCATTCTCCGCATACGTTCTTCCAGTTACAATAAAATGAAAAAGATCGAACAAGAATATTTTACGGAACAATATTATAACAAATCATAATTGTTCTGTACATATTTATTTACTTGGCAAAGCTAAAAGGAACAGCTAGCTTTTAAGCCCAAACTAAAATGCATACTGAGGGCTGTCAGGTTCCCCCAGGTATTTTTTAGTTTCATATAAAAAGATCATGAATTTAATAAGAAAAGTTAGTTAGAAGGTACAGTATGTTTTCTGTCTCATCCATGAAACAAAACATTTGATAGATTTTATTTGCACTCTTGCATCACAACAAGAAAATTCAACTATTAGATATGGTACAAAAATAACTATTTCAATATGCGAATTTAATTTTCTTTGAAAATAGGAAGTGATAAACAAATTAGAAAACAGAAAAAATGAAATACTTTAAAAACCTTTCAAAACTATTGGAACTAATCAAAATAGTTTTCCCAGAAAACAAGAGGCAAAAAAAGTAGGACAGAGAAAGAACATACAGATTGAATAAATTCCAGTTAATATTATGAAATGTAAAGAATAATAATAAAGTTGCAAGAAGGCATTCTATTCCAGAAAACAATTTGTTGAAAGCAACTGGAGTTCTCAGACACCAAATGCATATTAGCGCAATGGGACAGTACTTCCTATTTCACAACAACTGTACTACATCTAAGTATTGCATCTAAAAATCTGTACTGAAATTCACTGACAGCACAGCCCGCTGTGTTACCTCATGGACTATTCATTATTTCCCTGTAAATTCTAACAAACTTTCAAAAAATAAATACAGCGTATCTGAATTATTAAGTTGGCACATATCTTGTCATAAGAATGGATGGCAATTGTTAGGCATATTTAAGATACATCTGAAACCTTTCTTCAGTGCATAAAAGAGAACAATATAAAAGATCTACATCACAATGCAGATTTTGGCACCATGTCGTATGTCCAACAAGAACTACCAAAGACCAGCTGAACCACTGTAACTTAACATTTTAAAAAACTGTTATGTCATTATAAACAACAGGTTTCACAATATCTCTCCAAGTTTTCACCTTTAATGCCATCCAAACAAAAGTATGTTCAATCTTGCTAGCCTATGAAACATCAAATCAACAGCCACACATCCTAAACGCACAAAAATTACTTGACACCTACAGCTGAGGACACAACCCAAATACAATGACAACTTTATCTGCAACAATTTTGTACTACAATCTATTTTTTGTATTTTGTTCATATTCATCATGATCTATATACTGCTGATGAAACAATGTATTACACAGCATTTGTGCTCAACACAAAACACATATTTACCTACGCAGCAATATATCTCCATGTATTTATGTTTCTCATCACAGACTAACTTACACAGTGTACTGGATGAGGATACAACATTGGTGTTTTAACCATACATTTTCTACTTTGCTAGAATCACTAAATAACATCCTCCATTTTCTAAGTCATGTATTATAGTGTAGTTTTCCATGACATCTGGAAGCAAATTTCCTAAAAAATCTATATCCAAAACTAGTCCGTGCATCATTATACAAAAAGCATTCTATGCATTCTATCGTTCAATCTCCCATGGGCATTACATCAACACACCATTAAAACTAACATTTCAACAAATTTCACATCCACACTCAGTCATGTTTAAGTGCACCCGCAGTAGAATTCATTACTTTGCAACATGCAGTGCAAAAAAGGCAAGCTGCACATGTTTAAAGTGCCATGGTATGTCAGGCTAATTTTCTGAAACATGAAAATATGCCATAGTCTTGCACAGAAGTTTTCAAATCTGCAAGTACGTCATGTTTCCTTAACAATACAACCAATGAAACATAAGTAGCATTCTGTTCAAAATTTCAAGTTGCCAAAATGTATACTTCTTAACATTGATTCACAAAGCTATATGCCAATATCTAAATATCAATTCTTGTATTCTATGTAATACTTTATATATACATCACACAAACACTACTCTTTAAGGACCCTTTTTCTAACATATTTAATTTCAACATCCTCCAGAAAACTTGTGTATCCAATGAGCCTAAGAATTTGTTTGCAGGTTGAAAACTGCTTGTTTCACAAATATATAAAATTTCCCAATGTGCATTGTCTTGACAGTATTTCTTGTTTATTAAATTTCGACACAATAGAAACTGTCTCTCAAATATCAACACCATCAAAAATAAGAAGTAATTGTCTTTCATATGTAAGAAATAACAACAGGTATTAACCAGTAAGTAAGTCACCATAGTTACGAAACCATATCCTCTTGCAAGCACTGATGTTGCACAAGTTGGCAAATTATTCCATTTTGAACCTACCACAATAGTTCATAATAAATGGCTATTTCTATTATCTGGTAATAGGATTTTCCCACCAATGTCTGATCGGTTTTATAAAAATTAGTAATCATGATTGCAAAGATATCACATTTCAAAATGCAAATATTTTATGCATCAGCTGAATAAAATGTAAACGAACATCTCTGTGGAAAATGTTTTCAAACAAGAAAACTTGTTCTTAAAAATCTGTTTAGGATACTATCACTATTTGCCACAATGGAATGTTAGTATAATCAATAACAAATAAATTATCTGCCTCTGAATTACAAAATTTTGTTTTAAAATTATATCTTTTAAATACTCCAATGCTCAAAAATGGCAGATTTCACTTCATTACTTTAAATTCTTTAATAATCTCTATAAAAATACAGATAACAGAATGGCAAAATGTGATCAGTGAAACACTGTCATTACAAATGTAATAAAGATGCACAATTTAAAGAAACACAACCCCTTCCCTGGCTTGGGACTGCTTGAGAACTTTTAACTTGACAAAAGGAGGTAGATTGTCTTCTTCCTGTACGTCCTTCTGAGATAATTAAAACTCTTTTAAAATATATCATTCTACAACTACTACATAAAGCTTCCTACTGCAATCTTGAGCTTCTGCTTCTAATTATTTGCAATTACTTTTTTCATTTTTTTTTTTTTTATGAAAACCATCGAGTGATTACATTTGTGATGCATTTTCATTCCAGTTCAAGTGATCACAACTACAAAAGGCAAGTCGCTCTTCTTCCACGAAGCACTAGGTTCCTCTTCAACCCTCTATTGGCAGTGTCAATTTTTGTCACACAGCTCTTCCACTGTTCTTCAAACTCGGCTGCTGGCAGGTTACTGAAGAAATGAAGCACTTCTCTTATGAGTTGTATCTTGTGTACATTAAACTGTCGTTTCCCCATTTTCCCATTGACATTACAAAGAATGCGTTCATCAGTCGTAAAAAGGATCTTCATTAGGTCGCAGGCCAACTGCTCCAATGTACGGGCCTTTGCCCAAGTAGCCAAGACTTGAGCACGAGGCAAGAGGCAAGCGTACGGCAGGTTCTGGTAGGGCAGATTAAGTCCCAGCGCAGCATCCCCTTCTCCTACACACGCCACACAAGATAACATGGACGTTAGAGGCATGCTCACGTTCAACATCAATAAACGTGGCATGCTCACAAATACAAATAACGCCAGCTACACACATTCCAGGACACACATGGTGATTGTTTTAACAAGAAATTTTCCACAACCAAAACTGTGGAGTGATGAAAATAGCACCCTTTGCACAGGCCAATATCTTTAAATGGCAGCTAAATGAAATATAAATGTCTCCCCAAATCAATATCTAGCCAAAATCACACATCAAATTTTCATTCCTCTAAAAATACCTGAATTAGACAATACTCAATTAACATTTTATTTTACATTCACATGCTTCTTAAAAAAGTAGATTCTTTAAAATGAATGGCAATCATTTGACAAGTACACATTCAATTCTAAAAGTATGTCACATACTGAACATTAAAAATTTCAGGAATCTGTTCTTCAATATGACTAGATATTGTTCTGTTGATACACATTTGCCTTAAATATGGACCACATTTTTTATCAATCACATTTACACAGCAATTTTGTCTTGCTTTTCACTACACATGTAAATCAAAGCTTCAAAACATAGAACTTAAAAGGAAAAATAAAATATATGCTTATGAGCCTACAATACATAAACAAATAACAATCATCATCACATGGTATATATCATGCATGAAAACAAAATCATCTTGTGGACAACAGTTATGACCTTATGTGCTTTACTGTTAAGGCGTTCTCTGTAAAACAACCTAGTAAAGTGAAAGATTATAAGAACAATTTAGTAAACCCTCATCAAATCCAACTAGTACATATGCAAAAGGTCACAACTGATAAACCACCCAATTATACCCTTCACTACAGCAAAATATCACATCCCCAAGTTTTCAATGAAAAATTTAATATACCAACAATAACAACACAAGTTCCATGACCAGCTTAACAGATGATGAAGCAAATAAGAAAAGATAAACTACAGAATTAATTCTGAGACACCGATAAGCCAAAAAAAGCAGGCAATATATCTGGTAACATCTTTGTAGAAAAGCATACCCTTTCACAAACATTACTACACCTGGACAACAAGCACATTGCAACATACGAATGCTGAGTTCCCACTCACATCCACTACAGCAATGAAATTAACAAGCAGCAGATGTAGAACCATCAAACTCTTTAACACCATCACATACATAATATCACCAACCTGACTTTCACAGTTTACTTTTTGTTAGAGAAAACCTCTCCCAAGAAACAAAACAAAAAAAAACAAAACAAAACAAAACAAAAAAAAAAAACCTCACTAACACTTAAAAACCGCAGCATAAATCATAAAATTATCATCCTACCCAACCACACCAGTACAAAAAGAAAATACCTTTATGTACATTCTACAGAGACTTATCAATTGTGTCCAATAAAGTAAGTACATGCAGTTATTGTTACTATTGAAAAGGTGTTAATACAAGTGTTTTCAAAATGCAACACTCTTCAACATTCAGAACTGTACTTAAGTCTGGTAACCCATATACTTTCCATCCCTACAAGATAAATTTCATTCTAATTTTTAAAAATAATAAAATTAAAAATGTGTTCAGTAAGTAAGTAGTATTGCAGGAAATTATTATAAAGACATATTCTGGGGCATTATGAAAATATTAATCAGGAGGTTCAAGACACAAGAGAATGGTGCAGTCTCTAAACAAACCAAAGTCTCAGAAATAAAAACAAAATTTGAATGACTGAAATAGTCATTAACCTTTCAAAGAAATCAGTGGCAATGAAAATAATTCAAATGAAAAATAACAACCTCAACATACAAAATTAATCCAAAATTTTGACATAATAAGAAGCACTCATAGGTAATTTATTTAAAAAAAGAACAGAATTGGATGCACTAAAATTGTTTCAAATTTTAAATATGAATAGCAGAGAAATATCAAAATTACTAATAGAAGCAAGCAACATGGAAAAACTATTTTGAGAAATAAATATGTCCAACAAATATCACTAAAAAAAAAGAAAACACATTTTTAATTAATTTATATATAATCAAAAATTTTGGATAATAAATTACTTAAAATAGATTTTTAATAAATATTTCCACGCTCTGTATCATGCGTTCTGAAACTAAGAGAGGCATAGAGGAATTACATTGAAAGTTCAGCACAATGGAGCACATCAGATGTCTACAACAAAGAAAAGCTCAAATGAAAAAAGAAGAAAAAAATATTTTTTTTGTATTACCATTTTTTTCTTTAGCCTCCACCAAAACAGAAAAACTCACATATGAAATCAAACATGCTGTGTGAAGCAAAATAACTCACCTTTAATTTGTCCTGTGTCAGAAGCTGGCAACTTCAGCTGAGCTTGCATCAAATCACAAGGAGGACCCACAGAGCCGTCAGTACTGTCTTCCAGCGCGTCATGCAATGGGGATGGAGAACGGGAAACACTGTCAGAGGGCTCTACTTTTGGAGGAATTTCTGGGTCTCCTGGTTGTTGTGGCTGCTCCCATGGCTCCACGGACGAGGTGGATGGGTGGCGTGAGCGAGAAGGTCTGGAAGTTGGAGTGAGAGCCAAAGGTGTGGTCGGGAGGGGTGGTGATTGTGATGGTTGGATGCTACGAGGACGTTTTACAGGAGGAGACTCTTCAGGAGAATCTTCTGGAGAATTTGGTGGCAAGACTTTCTTTGAAGCTCCCATCTGCCAATTAAAAATTACACGCTACTTCAATGCAAAGCCATTAAAAGAAAAAAATGTTAACATGTAAAAACCACTGAATGTCAACATTAAGCATTACACCATCATGAATGCATTAACAATAAAAAGCCAAACAAATACTTTGCTTTTTATTGTTACAATAACACAGAGGTAGAATGGATGATGCTCGCAATGTTAGTGGTTGGCAAAACAATAACAATGAGATGAGGGACAACCATTAAGTTTTCATCTATAAAACTCAACATTACAAGGAGAAAATGGTGCAGGGTTTTGCTAGGAGAACTATCTTGATTGATTAACTATCTTGATTATTTCATGAATCACCAAACTCACGGGTACACGAGTCAGAATAAAACTCATTGGCAGAAAATTCTTATATCATAAAACTGTTGCACAAGAACTCTTCAAAACAATGGCATGGGAAGAATTGAAATAATTATGGGCATTTAATCATTTAACTTTATCACTTAAGTAGTACAAGCATAGTATAAACAAAGTTCTGTAATGATGCAGAAAATCAATGTCTAAATTTTAATGAAAATGCACGTTTTGGGATCCTGATAATAAGATATCGTTTTGTCTGTCAGTGCAACACAGATATCCACCAATGAAGTAGTACCTAAACCAAACAAGATTTTTCACTAATTTTTCGAAACACTACGAACGGGAAATTAATCTTTTTATGTTGGGAGAAGGATGGGGAACATGAGGCCCAAGACATTTTCAAAATTTTCTCCAAAATCGCTTCAATGTTTTTTTCCTAAAATTTTTGCTACAGTAGACCAAAGTACACTACAAAAGTAACTTAGATCCAATTTTCATTAAAACTTCTGAATTTTCAAAAATTGCACAAATTTAAATTTCTTCTATCCTTTTGGAAGGCACAGCTGCTTATTAGTGAAAGTGGGCATGACTGTTTCTTCCCCATGCAATCGACAATAAAAATGCTTCTAGATTCCTAACATTTGTTTTCAAGAAAGGTGCAGTTCATGATCAGTGGATGTTGGTGGATGCTTGCAAAATGAATTAAGGTGTGATTGCACAGAAGCCTTAAACTTCATGCACAACTGCAAAAATTATATAACTCTAATTTAACGAATTTAAGAAAATTAGGTAACATCATTGTTTGAGGTCTTTACAACGGATTGGTGCAGGTAAGTCTGGTCACCAGTATTTTGGCAATAATGTATTCATAATGTTCCACTGCTACTTCAACATTTCAAACAAAAATTACACAAACACTTTTTAAATTACGCTGAAATGATTTAAAGAACAAAAACTGTGAAATAAATTGTATTAACAAGTAAAATTATTGTTAACATTTTAAAACAATTCTTGTTTAACTTGCACACTTTCACAACTTCAGTACCCTGCAAATTAATTTTCTTTTGCCCGAATTCACATTTTGTGGGTCTTTGATACCGAAAAACTAATCGAGCAAAAAACATCTATTTGTCAGACCCTCTGTCCGTGATCAGCACTAACCCATGCACCTAATGAACAATTTTCTCCAAAATTGATTGATTTGTCAGAAATAGAGAGCCTGCCTCCCCTATTTGCAAAGATATTTTGATTTATGATAAGTCACAAAGCCTTAATATTATCAAGAGTTTCTCAAAAAAAGCTTAAGTTTTTTAAATTAATTTTTCCCTTGGAGACAACAATGGGCATTTAAAAAAAATGCTTATCTCATTTCTATTGAACTAAAAATATTAAAAAATTGCAAAAGTTCAAAATGTTTCAGCATTTTCGCACAGCTACAATATCACATTGCAATATGGAGACTTTTCTTCTTAATGAAATCTGTTCTTAAAAGATCTTGAGCAAATTAAATACTAGATCTTTAAGCAAGATCATACACAATTTTTTTGAAATAGGAGTACTTTTTACATAGTTTTGTGTGAAATATAGGCAATTGTTTAACAACTATTTTCTCAAAACCAGAAATAAAAGAAACACAAACATAAAAGAAACAAAGACATTTTTTTCTTTTCTTTTTCCTCTAATATTTCACTAAGTACACTTATGAAAACAATGCAAATCTCCATTAACGGTGATCATTGAATTTTCAGTAATTACAAATAATGTGAGAAACTATGTTCTATTGCAGGGCCACTAGTTTTTCCTAACATGCTTCCCCATGTAGAGCAATGTACTTACAAATAAGATATAAGTTCGATTATCATTAATATCTATGAACTTTCATTTGTTTGCTTAGTAGCTGGTAAGAAAAAATTTGCAAATGTTTCTGTCTGCCCATGTATTGTACTTGCGTGGACGTAAGGACATCAATAAAAATCATGTTTCCGTCACAGGAGTCGTAGCATGTTCGGTGAACTGTCTGTGCCTAACAGATCATTCCTCAATAATAGAACTCTAAAACAGATATGTTTCATGAAATTTGTAGTTTGACTTTTTCATTAAGTTTTTACTATAAATTTTCAACTTTGAAGAAATGTTAAAAAGTACTCAGTGTGATAGATAATTTTTATTTTCCTGCACACTAAACTCCACTCAATCCTTGAGTATTCTGAGAGTGTAAGAGGAAAAAATTAGAGAAATGATCTTGAATGTTTTAATATCTTCTTTAAAATAAAAATTTCCCAATAAATTTATGAAAAATGTTGACTTAACATATTAAAATTGACTAATAATTCATTCAATTAAGTTTATTGAACATTAAGTACATGAAGGACTGAGGTACATAAGGTACATTACAGCCAAAGGAAGTCTCCTACTCAACATAAAAATTAATATTCCAATTTGGGTCAAAGTGTGGCTTGCCTTTGTCATGCCCCAACCCATTAATTATGCCCCATTCGTGTGGCTTGCTGGAAACTGCAACTACCAGAAAGAAAACTGTCTTTTTTTCATTAAAGAAGTTTCTTTATCAATAGATCAAAATGAAGCACCTTTTGAAATATTTTTAGATCTTTCGAAAGCTTATGATGTCACTGACCATAACATTTTGCACTCAAAATTACCTTCATATGAAATTGGAAATATTGCTCTAGACTGGATATCCTCGTACCTTAAAAATTGATTGCAAAGAGCAGAAATACCAAATTAGCAATAAAAAAAATTTATTTCCAATTGTTTGTCAATTGCGTATGGCGCCATTGGAAATCACCAAGGAAGTGTACCACTGAAAATTAACAATATGTAATGGGTAAAATTTCTGGGGCTCTCAATTTAGTCAAATGTTGCTCAAATAGAATATCCATATAACTGAATTAAACGCAACATTAAATCAATTATAATATACATTCAGAATTCTTTCTGTCAGCCTTCACGCAGTCCATTGCAAATCTTTTGCAAAAGTACATTCCTGCCTGAAATATGGCATAATATTCTGGAGTAAGTAGTATTCGGATCCTTAGATTGCAGGTGTCAGTACCTACAGCTAACTAAACAAAAGGTACATATATGACAACATTAAACAATTAAAATCGAAACACAAAATATGTTCCAAACAAAGTAAAATCTTTTCAGCTGCATCATTTCTACACAACTAGAGACTATACAGGCCATCAAAAAGATTAATAATATTAATTTTAACAATGATATATTATAATGTGTTAGTTTACATTTGTATTGTGTTGTTTAAAAAGCTTATAACAAGTAATGTACTTCAGCTTCTGGGAAAAGATCCCCATCACGATCAGGTTTTGTCCACCTTCACTGGTCCACGGAGCAAATGCTAAGACAGCCCTTTGTATTGGTTCTGGGCACATAAGTAGGTTTAGTATCGACACATTATATGGAGCTCTCCTTTTGCTAGTTATGGTAGGAGTAGAGCCAAGGCTGCAAGTTAGTACCTATTTTGTTAGCAATTCTAAAAAAATCAAATCTCTAGTTCGTTTATTGAAGTTGGAAGCAAAATGTCTAGGTTTCAAATGTTGAAAACCCCTTTTTGTTGGGACTTTTTATTCATCATTCAACTATTTGTAGTTAAAAGAGTGTGGAAAAAATTCCGGAGCTCAAGAAAACTTGTGCAGATTGATTTCTCCCCCACATATCACATACACTTTTTACTGTTCTTTGAGAAAATAAATCGAATCTAATCAAAAGAACAAGACATTTATAGTTATAAGAGAGGTCATACTTTGACTAAAATCAAGATATTGACATTTGCAAATAGCTCTGGTTAGAGTCTCTCCACTTTTTACTGCCATACTACAATACAATACGTAAGTAGCACATTGCAATACAATGTGTAAGAACATACTAATTTAGATAAAACATATTGAAAAGTGTTCATTGCTTTAAAGAGTTCAATTTGGTGAAGTAAGAAAGTATATTACTTCAATTCTGACTTTTCTGTTTTATATTTTTCCAAAATTCATTAGGAAAATTGAAGTTATACAGTAAAAAAACTTTTAATAAATATCTGCTACAAATATTACAACAAACACCTTTTATTAAGTGATAGCACAGGGGTGAAGGTGAGATAGGGAAATTGGCAACCAACTGCCAGGCCACTTGGAGTGCTAGTTGAAAGAATATCAAGCAATGATTGGCTAGTGGTTTTCGCTTTCTTTTTGTATGTCTCATCCAGCCTGCATGCGAATTCCACATGGCGGAAGAGTGAATCCGTTGGTTACATTCACAAGTTTCTTTAGTGTTCTGAACGTTCATGTGTGTGACTTCTGTATTTTGTGTTATTTTGTTTTAGTGGACAAAATCGCAACAGTTTAGAGTTTTCTCCATTTCTATTTGCTGATCTTAATAGAATACAACGATGTTTTGCAATATAGAGGTGAGCATTTAATTTAAAGTTTCATTCACAATTAATTGTATGAAGTTTGTAGCCTACTGAATTCACATAACACCACAAAGCAAAATGTCTTTTTTGTGATGAAATGTAATGATTTATTATGATTTGCTATTTCATGTAATGTTTTTAAATAATGTTCATGAATATTTGTATACATTTCTAGAAAACAAATGGCCATTTAAATAATTTAGAGAGAAAGTTTTGCTCTAATTACAAATCATCTGATGATGCATTGTTTTGTAAATTGCATTTATCTCAAGAACTTATTATAAAAAAATGTGTATCTTTTTAATATACAAATATGTAATAGATGAAAAACAGAAAATACAAAATAAAAAGAAAATGTACAAAAGTCTATGAAAATAAGGTGAAAAAATCTAAAATGTTATAGTCTGTATTGAATATTGTTTAATATAAATTGTATAATAAAGGCAATGATTTATTTATTTATTTATATATTTCTTTGTTTATTCATTTTCATTCCTTCATTTCTGCCATTACCATATAATTAAATGACTCCCCTCAGTTATGACTTTACCCAAGTGCATTACGAAAATAGATAATCTACTATAGTTTAGTAAAATTGCAGTAGAATATAACCTATTAAAATCCATTAACTTTCACGAAGACGATTGAGTGAAATTAATTTTCATACACTGGACTATGATAGAGAGTTTATGGAGCTGTGGAAGGCAGGCGGCTTATGTAGTTCTTTGCCAGGTCACTTGGAGTGCTACGAGCAACTTTTGTTTCAGACATTTAACATTGAGGGTGCACTTGTATCCTTTGTTGTTCTGCGAGTGATAGTTGATTAGAAGAGTCTAGTCAATTCCAAGGAAGTCACTTAAACCGACTGTTCATGCTGTTAGGGTTAAAGGGAAAGTTGACAACAAAAGGAGAAGAAAAGTGGTTTTGAGAGAAAGCCTAAAATGGCCAAGGGCAGTGTTCCTTCTGGCAAGTCCTTTGTAGTAGCATTACAAACATTTTTGAACGGGGGTTTATTTACTGAAATGCAATGAAACAGTAAGATAGATTTAATTGTACTTAGCGGAAAGGGCAAAGGACTTTCCTGGACAGATGAATTTTATTTACCATCTAAAAGATTTACGAGGTGAGTTTTCCAGAAAGTATTTTCACAAAAGCCTTTGTTGGTAACCAAGCACCACTGACTCAAGGATGTTTAATGTTAATCACAAGAGCCAAAGGCACATCCTTGTAGCAAACACAAAAATGCTTGGTGAAGCATAAACTTGACTAAAGAAGAAATTTGGCATAAAAAAGCAGGGGCAATTGCATGCGAAGTGAGTGAAATTAACCATTTTGTAGATGATCTACTGCCCAGTATGGAACCACAAGCTGGTTTATTGATGGTGTGTCAAATTCCCAAACACAGAATAGGAGAGGTTTTTTTGGCTGAAGTAGAGAACACAGGTCAATTTACGGAAGTCATTTCAAACAGCAGTTTGTGCTACTCAGGTGAAGGGGAATCCACAGTGGAGGGAACAATGACGAGTTAAGAGGTTTGAGAGGAATTGTTTGCTGGGCAGAAGTGAGCAATGTACACAAAATGATTCAGAATTATTATAATTAAGGGGTGGCCAATCTAAACAAACTATAAAAATGAAACAACTTAAGCAATTTGATTGTTTTGTGAAAGATTACTTTAAATTCTGTGGTGGTAGCAGATATCTTGTGGTAATCCATAATACGGTAAAGGAAATAATCGTTCACAACAGGTTTAATAATTTTTATTAATTATTACCCAGAGTTAACTTTCTCAGTGTTTCTATCAACTCAGTGTTTCCTGAAAGTTAACTCTGGGTAATAATCAAAATTATTAAACCTTTTGTGAACAATTATTTCCTTTACCATATTAAAGATTGCTTTGTTCAATATGTTATTTAATGTCCTAGTACCTTGTCAGAATGAAATTACTATTCTGTCTATTGAAGCAAAAGTTGCACAGCTGTAATTCTGTAATTGATTTTCATATTTTTAAATGTCACTGTAGCTGTCAAAACAGTTAGCTACATTTCAGTCAGTTACATCTTTTGGTATTTTGCGATTTGTGTTTTCAATCATCGAGTTTGTGTTACAATAGTGAGAATAAATATAGTTCTTCATGTGTGGTGCCGAAAGGGGTTTTTGAATGTGATTAAGTGAATTCAAAACTATAGATTGATTGCAACACACTTTACATGTCCTGTGAGTTAGTCTAATGGTGGCTCCACACATTCGTTATTGGGCGAGTAGAGAGCAAACACCCACCGAATCCTGAGTAGTGTGGACGAGTTGCTTGCTACTTGCCGAGAGACAAACATTCAGTGCTTGCCCTACCCATCGTGTGTCAGTCAAACAACAAACACATCAAAGGGAGCGAACATTTGCCGAACACATCAGCTGTTTGGTTCTGGGCAAGCAGTAGCTCAGTGCTCAACGAATGCTGAATGTGTGGAGCTGTCTTTATGAGATTGGCCAAGTGAAAGGTGTTGTTCGCTGGTTTGGAGGGGAAGTGAGGTAAGAAAAAGGCCATTCGTTGGAGTATGTGTTCTTTGCAAAAGGGGGCATGATTCACAACCAGCAAAGTAAACACGGAAGTTCTTGCCTTTCCCTGGGGACATCTCCAACTTATATAAAGGATGAAGAAACTGCACTTTAGTATGTTTTTTTCATTTGTTTCAGTGATTTTCGCAATTTTAGAGGGAGGGCCTAAGGAGACTCCTCTTTCCTCCTCTTCTTCTCTCTCTCTCTCTCTCTCCTTTTGTGCAACTTCTATGGTCAGTACATGACGAGACATGGCCTCTCTCGTCTTTCATTCCCCTTCTTCCCCCTCAATCCTGATCACTAATCTCAATCGGTAATCACACACTACTTTATTCCAAATAACACAACGAGTTAGAAAAGCTCTTAAGGTTTGAAGCCCATTATTTTTTAAGAAAATACAGTTTTGGAAAATGTCAGCAAAGTGTTTTGCTTTAAAACAAATTTACAGGAAAAATTATCCCGCACAGTTTTGCATTACAGCAGGCCAGAATGGTAAATGGTTCTTATGATGGCTTGTGGGCACACCAATTTTAGAGATGTAAGAATGAAATAAAATTTCACGGACACAAAGAGGTACACTACACAACACAACCTTCACTGAAGCCACTTGCATTTAAAAGTTCATCTCTACTGGCTTAACAGCACATTTAAACAGTCCCTTTCACCTCCATCAAATGCCATTTTCACAGATTTCACAAGGCCATTATACGCTGTAACTTTGTTGAAATTAGTCCATTACACCACTAAATAAAATTCATACTTTATACTAATTACAAATCAAAAAAATACTTTTTCATCTCTTCTGATGCAAATTTGTAACTAAAAGTGAGCATTCTGGTCCACCTTTACAACCACAAAGTCAAAGCACACAAAAATAAACTGCTTCACAGCAGGCCCGTAATTTATTTTCCAGGCAATCTTCTCAGTCGCTGGGTATAGACTGGACTGATAATGTGAAATACTTCATTATGTTTATAATTCATATAATTTTGATAAGTTCTAAACAAGTTGGGTATCAACAATTACCACAATTCTCTGCAAAATGTATTCTTCTGCCAGTCAGATAAGCCAAGTGCCAGCTGAGATCAGATGTATCAGCTTACAAAGCATAGTAGCCAGTTAGGGATTCTTCTTGCACAAGTAATTTAGTTTGTCCGTATCTTCACTAGACATATTGTAACATTTGATGCATGTCACATCAGAAAGTATGCAAGAATATTAATTCTTTAATAGAAAAATTCAAAGGAAGGCCATGCCCACTGAAGGTATACTAACAATCCATAACAACCCAACAAAGAGCCCACTACTCGCTTTCAATTAAATTCACAATGTACTGAATAATCCAAGTAATTTTCTTTAAACTGATTCCGAGTAAACAATTCTTGCATTCTAGCTAAATAAAAATGTAGGTTTCATGCAACCATTCTCCAGTTGTCAAAAATATAAAAATAATGAGGAGTACCACAGCCTCAGAACATTTTGGGCAATGCTTGTGAAATATATGTCAACAATTTCTACATATGAATCATAGACTATCCCCTCCCCCAAAAACAATTTGGAAGAAATTAGTGTTTTTATAGTTTAAATAATCATTCATTTAAAAAGAGGGCTGAAGTCTAGTATATGGTACAACTTACCGAAGTTGTTTAAATCAGCACCTCGTGCTGCTCCTGCGTTAACTAAGGCAGTTTGAATTCTGGAGGCTTTTTTGAAAAGTGATTTCTTATAAAAGTGAATTGGTAATTATGCGGTGGATAGACTCGAGGATGTTTATAGTGCACGTGAGGGCCGGAGGCCCGAGCCTCGCCATTACTTAGATCTGGGTGAGAGAAGCGAGAAAACTTGCCTTTGAAAGTAAATTGGCATTACAATGCAGCGGGGGCAAACATATTAACGGCGAACCATGAAAAACACATATATACACAAGTTTTATTCATTTTTATCAGAGCGCACAGAGCAATTAGAGCTTAAGAAGACCCCACACTGCCGCCACGCACCTCTGAGGGTGTACCATGAACCCTACTTGAACCAAAAGGAGTAAATGACTGTTCTGGGCAATGAAGTTATCAACACAATGACTACATCCTGAGAATTATAAAATGATTTTCTTCATTAATTTCAATACTTAAGTCTTCCTGCTCTACTGGTGTGGAAGTTAAGTCAGTGAGACATCATTCACCTGCAGCACAAGGCTATATAACAACGATCCAGCAATTGATGTCAAAATAATTTTTCGATGACAAAATTATCCAAATTTATTACTCAATTTTCAATTTCTTAGAGAAATGGGTAAATACAATGTAATATAAATTTATCCGATACAATCTAACATACTTCATACCTATAACAAGGAGTCGTGTTGGGATTAAATACTTCTACGGCAGAACAAAAATTGTTAATTATCTAACAACTGAAGACAATAATTCAAAAACCAAATTGACCAGCAGATTGTAGTTATAAACTAGAGAAATAGAAAAATAACCTTCTCTTTCACTTGTTCTGAAGCTCCAGAAAGACCTCGGATCTGCAGAGTTTCAGCAGCCCGCAGCAAAGCTGGAAGGTTTTCCTGCTCTATATTGACTTCACCTTTATACACAAAACACAAGAGCGATTCAAGCTCAGTGAAGTGAACATCTTGAAGGATGATAACAGGATGCTGACAAGGATTTGTCTGCAAATAAAACATTGATATAATTACCACAAAATGATAAGGATTTATTTATTTATTCCTAAGTAAATAGTATTACCTGGAAAACTTTCCTAAAAAATGGACTGCATGCTGACAGTATTACTTTGTGAGCTCTGAGACACTGACCATCACTTGCCAAAGTCACATCCACCAAACCTTCTTCCTCCCACAAATTCTCAAAACTAGTTACTATATTTGCTTGGAAGCTATTCCATTTTAAACAAATTTGTTGCCCAGCCATTATGGTTGACCATCAGCTGAAACATCACAATAAAAAACTATTGTTGGAGTTGCAAATATTAGGTAATATCAACAAGAGCGACATTTTTTAAATATACAAGAAATAAGTTTCTTTTCAATAAAATATATTAATGGAATTCCTAAAAATTAGAATTTATAGATGAACGTATCTTATACTTAATTCCCTTTCTCAATAAATGTTACTGTCATTAGTCAACAATAATTTCCCTCGAGTTACACAACATTAATGCGAATCGACAAATAATTGCATAGTAAAAGAAATCACTAAAAAGCAAAATGTTGCTGCCACCGTTAACAAGTTAACACCTACAAAACAACAACTTGTACTTGCCGAGTCGATGAAAACATCCAACTGATGGCGGCCGTACCTAACCCACCTACTCTTACGATGCAAAGTTTGCACACTACGGAAAGTATATTAGTGTTGCGTCAACTTGAAATATAGCTCCTACGTACACGCGATTTACCTAAAGAATAACAGTGGCAACGAAATTACCGAAAACAAATAAAGATTAGCATTCTATCAACTCCACATACTTCTTCGCAAAACTAAATTCATCTCGGAATGTCAGACGTAAGACACTTACCAATAGATATTATAAAGTAAAACCTAAATTATACACAAAGTAGTTTTTCAATTAATGGAAATCAATTTAATGTGAACAGTAAAAAATGAAATGGAACGAATACTAACACGAATTTCAAACTCAATTAACCATCTGACAGAGACTCGCAGAAACTTCCTGTTCAAAGAGAAAATAGCTGAAAGTTACCTCAAAAAGGGCAGAGAGAAATTACGGAACACTGACGGTCGAAAGGAAAGCCCTTTACGTACTTCTGAAATCACGATGAAAGATATCAAAATAGATTTATTACTAATTTTGAAACTTTTGCGGCATAATAAACTGTAATGTGTTAAAAATGTAGGTGTTCCCTGCCTGCAGTCAACTTGACGAAATATTTCCAAGTCGAAAAAGGGTTCATGGCCTTCTTGGTAAATTTTCACTTATAATTTTTCCGGAAAAATCTGATCTCCCAAGTTACAAGTTACTTACTTTTGCTCGGCATTCTCCCGTTTGTCATCACATTCATAAAGGTTGTTTGAAAGAGAAACATTTTTCATTTACAACTGATTTATTGACACATGCTCTTGGTTTTTATTTGTCACAGATATGTCAAAACATTGTAGAGGAAAATGCCAACAACTGAATCATAAACCAATCTGAATTCCCTAATATAATAAAATACAAAATCTTGTATTTACATTGTACAAACCAGTTCTTTTTTTATAATGGTACATCATACAAAAGCAGTCTACAATAATTTTTCATTTGGAATTATATAAATATGTTCAAGTTTGGAAAAACTGAAAACCATTTTCTCTACTGCAAGGCTCAACAAGAAAAACAATATTATGAGAAACAAAATTTAAAACCGAGAACAATAGTTAGCAGCAAAGTCATTTCCATTTGCTGAAAACAATTTATATTAGTGTTTATAAAATTTTCAGTTTGTGCTAGTAATTGAATTCTAAGTTCTGCATGTAAGTTTATAATATTAATATGGCTCTGTGTATGTTGCAGTTAAAAGTGCATAGCATAGCATACTTTATTAAAGAAGAACAAGTTTGATGCTAAGAAACTATTGAAGCACTTATCAAAGCAGTTGCCAACACATTCAATCCCTAAAGAACAAGACTGATAAGTGCATTGCATTACTTAATAAGACCTTTTCCAACATGGTACCTTTGTTATTCAAGATTGCATCATGTCAAGCTACTTGTTATTTATTATTAGGAAAGCTAAAAAAGGATACGAAGTAACTGCAACATCAGAATTTTCTTAATTATAAATGTACATAACAGACATTGCAAAATTAGAAACCACTCGTAGTAGAGATAAACTTATTAAGAGAGTTGACAATTTTTTCCAAAGATTACAGGCCAGTTTCAGAAAGAACAATTTATGTACTAATAGAAAATATCTGTACAAATAAACTGCAAAGAAGTCATGCAATACAGAGGCAACATGATATAAAGTCAGTAATAAAATTATTCCATTAATACTTCAGAGACACAGGAATATTGATCATCACAATTTTATCCAAATCAACAATACAACAAATGGATAAATTATGAGGACAATTATGAACATGACATTAAGCTGCCATTAAGATGATAAAAATAATGTTTTCAGTAACAATAAAATGATTGTTACACACAAAGCTTTCATGACAAAGAAAGCACATTGAAAAAGTAGTTTCCTATAAAGCACATAGAACAGTTTTTTCAGACATTTCTTAAGTGCGTATCAATAGATATACACAAATGTGATATCCTGCTAACAGAAGCTGCTCCACTGAATGCAGGAGCAACACTTGTCCTAAACAAGGACTGATCTAAATACTAAGAATGAGGTGATTAAGTTCATATGTAGTATTAAACAACTTTAAACATACTGTCTTTAATGGTTTGTACCAGCAGGAAAGACAAAATACACATAAAACATTGGTCATATATATTACACCGTAAGTTCCAATGAGATAGACATTCTTATTCACACTGCATTGGCAACTTATCTTATTAATAATTATCACACCAACATAATGTTTCTTTTAAAATTTAATTAACCTGCCAGGGTTCTTTGAAACTTTTACTGCAAAATTTAACAAAAAATATAGTTGCATCTATTCTATAAATCAGATCTCAAGAATCAACTATTCATATCATATATACACTCTGTCATTAAACTAACACATTCTTTCATTTTTTTACAGGATCTGAACTGTATTTTTATAAATAAATTTTTTCCCCCTTTTAAAATACTTTATACACAATTCTACCAGCAATGATTAATGCATCTGAAAGTTTTGCTATGGCAAGCTTAATCAGCAATCTGCAGAACTTTCTTTACGTTTCTATAATGAAAGATCTTTCATTTTATGTACAATAAAATACAGTATAAAAATTAGTTGTTCCTATATATACACAGTGAAGAACATTAGTACATAACATGAAGCATTTCACAAACTCCCCTACAAAGACTAGTACTTAAGTAAGTCATGGCTCCTAAGTTCAAAACTGAAGCACTTTTTAAAAGATAGTATTCCGTTAAGATAAAGTGTCAGATATCTTCTGAAAGACATAGGAGAAACCTGACATTAAAAATGCACTTTATACATTCGGTCACTTCACAGGTCAGGTACTAGATTTTTTGAAAAGGAAATGACACGTATACCTGTTTAAAAATACCAACATAAAAACATACGGAATTTCAAATTTTTCCCCCCCAATAATTTTAAAATCTTCTTAAGATATTCTACCAATTCTAGTAGAAATCCACTCTAAAATTGTATGTATATACAAGGAAACAATAATAAAACAAGTGATTTTTTCCTCCTTTTTCTGGACCACTTAGTCAATATTCATTTCTATATACAAATATACATAGTATTTTTAAAATGTTCATTAAGTTAATCAATGTTGTTCAATACAATGTAATTTTGATACATCAAGCCGGCTTAAATTTTCAGAGTAAAGCTAAAACACATTTGATTAATGAAACTTATAAATAATTCCTAAACGTAGACAATGGAGATCATACATACCAAGTGCAAAATGAACAATTCTGTTGCAACAACCGCAAGTCATATATGCTACACAGCAATGTAATAGTTTTGTTCTGTCAAATTATGAAAAAATTTTGTTAAGTAACACTAAATATACAAGATACAAAACAACTTTATACAGTTATTAAAATTGTTATGAGAAAACTGATCAAATAATAAGCAATAATAATTAACAAAAATCCTAAAAACGTTGTATAAACTGATTAACGGGTTGCAACACATAATTTTTCAATATTCACATATGAGACATCAATGTTCAGTCCTATAATTAATTGTACTGTCAATCTTTAAAATAATAGGGTACATTTAAAATTCATTATCACTCATTCACATAATGTTTTGAAACACAATAATTCTTACACAACTATGATTGATTTCACATTGGTCGGTCTGGTGTAGTGGGGGGTACACCTGGTCCCTTGTTGTCTGGTGTCTGTGGAGTAGGTGTAGGTGGAGTGGCATCAGTTGAATTGTTCCGCTGAGGAGACAGTAGTTCTTGTCGATCTCTTTCCCGTTCACGACCAGGTCTAAATGCCTCTAGCAATGCTTCCACTCTTTCTTCGTTAGGTCCCCATCTTTGATATCCAGCATTATTTTGAAGCCAAACCACTAGAGTCCCATGAGCAGATTTGATATTAAGGTCGCTCCTGCAACACAAAATATTACAATACAAAAATCTTAATTCATCTCAACATCATGTAAACCTTTCATTTATTGAAGTTTGGAATTTTATAAATTTTGTCAATAGTTATGGAGAAAGAAATACTGCTAGTCAATATCAGAGTACTCATAAAATATGAATGGTGCAACTCACTTGGCAGTGCAATGCTGAAAGCCATGTCTATATTCATGTTCATATGCAGGTACAACTACCTGCTTTCTCTTGAAGTGACTGGCTTCCAGTTTCAAAAGAGCATTTGGAGCTGGATCACGCCACTCAGGAATAAAAACAATAAATGACAAAGGCTCTGGAGAATCTGCAAGAAGTCTCTCAAAGTGATTCACCATAGCCTCCATTAGTTCCTCACAGAATGGTGGATTTGCTTCAAATGATCCACTAACGGGTTTAAAATCCAACAATGGTCTGAAAAAACATGATTATCCCAGATTATACCGCCATCCTCTCTAGATGAAAACAGCTATTATATAAACTTCAGTTATATTTGAAATATAATTAGGTTTATGTATTTTAATGGAATACTCGAATTCTGCATTTCCATGAAAACATCCAAAAGTAAAATAAAGTTCATGAATTTTCATATACTATGAAATTTTAGGGGGTAATAAAATACATTATCACATAATGATGTTACAAAAGAATCAGTTCAATGCAATAATATTTTAAGAACAAATACGAGTAAAAATTCTAGTTGTAAAGTTTGAAAAAATTTACTATAATTCAAATAATAATAATAATAATAATAATAATAATAATAATAATAATAATAATAATAATAATAGTTTTAATTTTTACATTTAATATTTTATTTCTATTATTTATCTATGCTTTGTTTTCTCAAAGAATTTTTTTCTTTATTGAAAGGTTTTTTTTATTATTTTCTTTGGACAGATTATACATAAGACACATTATACTATCGTATAATGTACCACTAGGCAAAGAAAATAATTGACCCAGCAATTTTGAATGTAGCTTGCGTTCAGCAAACACTCCATTTCTGTACCTCTTATTGTGGACAGTTGTATTTGTTTCCATTTTGACAAATACAAATGTTGCTTTGAAGAAAAAATGTCAAAATATGTAAAACCTCTTGGGTAGGATACTTTTTGAATAAATTTATCAATGGTTCAAAAAAATTATGAGTAATTTTAATTTAGACTAATATTTCTATTAGGTTGACCAAACTTAATTATTTTTTATTTGTGATAGCACAGCTGCTGCAGCCAGATAAATTTTGTATGTACATTGAATTTTGTATACTTGCACAAAGAGGCAGTTCTGTAACTTCTGATGCAGAAGAACTCTGTAGCATGTTTGACCTTTTGTATCCAATAACATTACGTCAAATACCTCTTCCAATTACAAGTAAACACCCAACTTAATTTCTTGCTAGGCCATGAGTTATTTTTAGATAACAAAGACATTTATTAAATACTAGCAGAACCGGGCAGACATTGTTCTGCTCTTCATCTCCCTCCCTCTCTCTCCTCATCTCTCTCATTCACTTTTAGTTGCAAATTCTGTATTTCTCTGAACAAGTGGGGTAATATTGAGATGCGCCAGACCAGCAAAAATGTAATAGAATGTTCAAGATCCCATCTTGTAGCTTACGGTGTGAGAAACATTTCTTTGAGGCCTTAGGCCTCAATAGTTCAGTTTTTAATACTCTAGAACACTTTGTTTAGGAGCTATTTAACAATATAGATTCAAAAATGCTGCTGACTGTTGTGGGTTACATTTTCCATAAATATTTAGTTATGTTCTACTGCCCATCTAGTGGAGTTACGTGTAGATAAACCTTCTGGGTGAAAAAAAACATAGATGTACCAACTTCTGTGGGCATTGGTTACACAGTGTCTGAGTTAACCGCTCTTATATATACCCACTCATCTTATATACATGAATAATTTAGAATAAACAAATATCATCCATGGAAGAGTGTGGTCTATCTTACATTTTTCCTAATAGGTACAGAAAATTTTAGAAACATGTCACGGAGAACCTAAGGTACGTCTCATCTTACCTCCATGACTACTTGACTACATGATTTTACACAGCTTACTTTAAGAATGATTGATATTACACAAACCATTACTCCAAAATTTTTATCGTTGCCAACATACTTCAGCTGCACATTTCTGTTTGTTGAGTCAAAACCAAAACACTGTTCAAAATTCTTCACAAAAATAGCTACATGACTAGGCAATACTGCAACTGTTGGTCAGCCTTTTAGTATAATATACTTTTTATAATGCCAACTAAATAAGCCTTTATTATAATGCATCCTACAATGAACTGTCTCTCTTAAGAGTCCCAAAGCAATCAAAATTCATAACATTAGCTTAATCTGAGGATAAAGCTTTCAAATCTTAAGAACTCATAAGGTTTGCCACTCTCACAGAGATTTCTAGGTTGATAGCAGAATAGCAAAACACTTCCTAACTGTGTAGCAAATATTATATTAACATACCCTCTGGAGCCAAAATAAGAATCCACATCTGCAAATGCAGAACAATACTGCCTGAAGTAACAATTCAAGGGAGATGCAAAGCACTCAAATGTCACTCCAAACATACGGTTCAGGCATTCAAATACAGTGACAGGGAGAGCTCCCTGTGTCCCTTGACCTTCAGACGGACCCGAGCCAAAAAATGTGGAATAGCGCTTCAAAAGGCACCACACACGTGGGAGAAACAACTCAAATTTCTTGTCATCAAAACAACTATATCGATATAGTTGGTCCTAAAAAAAAGAGACAAAAAAATTCGGTTTCAAACATCTGATTTTCACCTGAATGTGCACCAACATATGTTGAAGATTTTCAAAAGTTCAAAGGTTAAATATAAAATTTAAACTAAATAATTACCAATTTCTGAAGATATGATGTATTGATGTGCATAGTCTCCCCATGATACCGCAGTAATGTTTGGTCTCTATCAGGTAGGTAATCTACTTGTGGTAACCGAGGACAAGGGATCGCATACTGCACAGGATAGCACCAGACTTTCCGTAGATTTGGCATTTGATGTGGTACAGTTAGCTCTGTGTAAGAGTGAAGTAAAGGACACAAATGACATGAACAAAATAATACAAATTGATGACTATATTTCAGAGCTCATGCTAAAGCACAACTACTAATAATTTCTGCTACTAGCTGAAATTTTATGATCAAACATGCAAGAGAAACAGATTTTATTATTTCTTTCAAAGAACTTATTAATTGCAGATTAAATGAGTGCTAACACACATCATTTACAAATTATTCTAACTAAATATCATACCTGTAATACCATGTTCTTTAAGAATTTCACTATTTTTTTCTTTCACTTTCTTTGCATAATCAGCAGAAAGGTGATATATCTTCAGACATATACCTTCCACAGATGCTTTTACGGTGTCTGTTAGATGTGGTTGACACTGCCGCTAGAAATTGTAATTTACCCCTTTTTGATCAAAGGCATTACTCAAAAGAAAGGAAGAGAAAGGGTGCAAATTTAAGGCACCAAAGTACCTTCAAATGAGACAATCTCTCCTGAAAGTCGTCATAAGTAGCTCCCACTGTTCTTCTCAGCCATTGGAAAGTTTCTTCCACATTCCACTTCACAACCTTCCGACTTTCTGGAGAGGCATTCCTGTAATACACACAATTATCATTAGTTAGAGCGTAGGCTTCCACGGCCGGAGTCAGTATTTACTTGATTAATTTGTGCACTTCAAGATAGTCCTCCAGTAAATATCCCTCCTTTAGTCATCTTTATGTATGTCGTTCATCAAGAGAAACTGCGGGTAACATCTCTGCATACGGCACCTCCTACTACCACACTCTTGTGTCAGCTACCCCAAGCACGCAGAATTGGGCAAGGAAATTAAGATTGGGGTAGGCGTTTTAGAATTTCACAGGGACTTGTTAGCCCTGTGAAGCAGCCAACATCGTCTTTTGTTCACAACAAATTCACATGCAGATGTCCAGAGAATTCGAACCCAGACCCTTTGGTGAAAGGTGAACGACTTCTCTCTAAGGCCACTGATTCCAGAACATGTTGCTAAAATGCAAGCACAGTAAATGAGAGTGAGAAACTTATGCGTGTTGCCAAATTACACAAAAAATTCTCATGTCTTTCAAAAAATTGAACCTGACCTTATATTTGAAGATCTATTCTCTTGATGAACACATTTGATTAAAGAAAAATGTGTCTTTCATAAATTGTATTGCTAGACCATTATATTTATATATTAATTTAGTGAAAAGCTATCACTTTTAATTTTAAAGAATTAGGGTTTAACACAACATGAGATATGTACCATATTCTCGAAACATTCTTCTCAGACTATCCACAACAACCAACTTGGATAAAAAATGATGGCAGCCTTTTTTTAGAACGTTCCCCAGGGCCTTATGTAAAAGCTGTCCCTCGGAAATTAAAAGATCTGTTAGTGAATCTCAAGGGCTGTGAATTCAGCCAGAATCAATTGGAATATCTCATTTTGAAGAGAATCAGCTGTAAATATACATACATACTGACAAGGCCACTACTAGCTACTGGACCATTGGTCACCAGTTCAGACGACAGACGTTCTCCCATGCATTGATTATTTCGGTATCAAGAATCATAATCGTGATTCTGCTACACTTGTTCCTTACCCAACTTTTTTTCTGTTTCTTAATTAGCATGTTGATTATCCACTTTTTCATCATGCCAAAGGCCTGTAATACAGGTATTTTTGTGAAAATCTTGCCCGTTTTTTCTTATCCGCAACATTTGGCATAACAGTCAGGCCAGATTATTTACAGTATGCAGACATTGCATACAACACAGTAGCCGCACTTAGCAGTAGCCAGATCATTTAAAAATATCTGTTGCCTGTACCACACATACCCACTCTGCAACCATTATAATCAGTACAAATTTGATTACCTTTGTTTATTACTGTAAAGCTCATTTCAAATTTTTTTATTCTGAACCCTTATAGAGTATTAGTTTGAAGAGCTTAACTGAAATTAGTATATACATGTTTTTTACTTAACATCTCCACACCCCTTAGGACTTGAAAATATCTTAAGAAACCTTCTCTACGTTTTAAACTTAACTTACCAGGATGATTAAAACATTTATTATCGTACTTAGTCCCTGGCTGCAGAGTTTTTGCCGGATACGGTACGACATCTTAACCTTCATGGTAAGCCCTTATGGAATACAGGCTCCCAAGTCAAAAGCATAAACAGAGTTGAGCATCAGAGGACTCTCCTTGCCCGAGATCACTCCATATGTGATTGAAGACCACAGCCTGCCTGAAGTACCAGGCTTGCTAGGATACACGGCAGATTCTAGTGGAACAAACCTCGAAAATAAACCCCCATTTCATGTGTCGTGAACAACATTTATCACAAATGAAGTGCTGGAGCGTAACAAGTTACGAAATGTTGCTCTTCAGAATTGGCCAAATTCCATTGAGTTGACATCCCAACACTAATATGTAAAAAGGGGGCTCTGTTCGGATGTACCACTAGCTTTACTTGTGAATTTGAACTAATAGACTGTCTGTAAATGGCGGGGCCTCATGAACACTTATTACCCAATTATAAAACACAATCAGGACTACTGAATCGATCTATGTAAATAGTATTTAACCTAGATTTTCAAGGACATCACTATATAAAGTGCATGCTTTGGTCAATCATGTTCAGTTTCAATTTGCTTGATGGTTTTTTGGCAAATTTCAAAAATTCTCACGAGGTTCAGCCTGGAAGTTATAATTAATAACCGAAACGGCCTCGGAGTCTGATTACCCTTATAAATCTTCTTTGAAAATTGCCTACTATCAAAACTTAAAAATAACCCACCAAAATTGACCTAAAAATTTAAAAGTAAAGGGAAAAAGTTACCTAATTTTCTAAAAACACTAGAAATGTGTTATAAGTATAAAATGTTTATTTCTTATCTCACATCGAATTTGCGACATTTTAGATGAAATCTATCTTATATCAAAATAGCTTTATGTAAAGGTCTTCGATTTTAGAGGAACATGTCTAATCATTACCCTCCGAACTTCCAACGTGGTATTTGAAAGGTCGAGGAAGATTACTGAAAATCCGATGCGTAAAATTTTCAGAGATTTTAAAAGATCCATCTCATAGTAATTTCGTCCTGAATTGAATGATAACAAAAAAAACCTTCTATTCCTAGTGACGTTATTGTGATACATGAAAATTTGTTTAAAAAAAGACACAAAAGCGAAACTATAATGACTAAAAGACCCGGCTAAGTCCAAAAAAATGACCTAAAAATTGAAATAATGGCACAGAAATGACCCACACAACAAATTTAATCCACCCAACATGTTCTTGATAAACATTCATTTACAAGTTCAAGCTAGTCTCAAGGCACCAATTGAAAAGATGACATGTCGTTTAAATAAATTCTGCCCTAGTGTTTCCCCTTTACTGGCTTCTCTTTTGCTCAATTAACAAGACGGAAGAAATTTTATTTTGTATTTACGTCTCTTCTTCAGCTTTCGCTTTATTTAGCCATACATATTCGATTTCAGATAATATACAATATTACTGCATTCTTATCGTTCTTGGTCTTTATCTGACCTGTGAGGTAACTAATATCATATTACTAGGGCTTCCGGTTCGACGCCGCAGTCCACTCGGCGCAGGTGCCACGCTCTCCGACCTTCCTCAGGGGGCGTAATGCCGTGCCCGTGAGGAAGTCGCAGCATTACCCTGAGGAGGTCGCAGAATGACGATATGTCGGCACTCTTCCATGGCGGGTGGGGTATGGACGCCGCGCCCGGACAATCC